AAAATGAATTTGTTTTTATCCATGAAAATGCGAAATATTATTTCAAGGTACAATGTGTCCGCACAACTTCATATAAAAGCGATTAGCTCAGATCCCGCTCATTCAAACGCTTTCAGTAAATAATTTAAAAATAAACTTTTTGGTACATTTAGTTACAGAAATACGACAATCATTATATTGGAATTGGAATGAATTGGCTTGGCTGATGAATTATTAACATTTCACTAAATTACAAAGTCTTCAGGACGCTAATAAAGGCATAGAATATTAATGGTTTATGTAGGAATAGTTTGTGTACAGGGCTGGCACAAAGGAACTTAGTAAGGATTACGATTTAAATAGGTATAGAGGATTAACAGGGTTGGCCTTTAGACATCAGCTTGAGACTCTCAACCCTGAGACCGTAAGTTCGAAACCTGCTTTGTACCAATAAACATATAGTCTATTTGAGCATTTAACGTACGGTGAAGAAAAATATCGTAAGGATACTGGCAAGTCTTAGACACAAAAAGTCGACGGCGTGTGTCAGGCTTAGAAGGTTGATCGACTACTTGTCTATTTAGAAACATAAATTATCACGAAGCAGGCCAGACGCCTGGACCTCTTTTATTGTTAAGTTCATTATGTCCCTAATAGAAAAACAAACAATAACGATACATATATATTGGTCGAATATAAGGTGCACTAAATAAGTTTTTTTTTAAATTATTTGTATAAAATAACCGAATAATATCATACAAACGAATTAAATAATTAAAAAAAACAAGAATGTGCAACAATTATGGTTTACCAAAAATAATAATAATAAAAAAACTATTATCTGTATTTATTACTTTTAATAGAAAAGTAAACAAGTATAGCGACATCTAAAATCACATTATGATATCGTATGATCATCTGAAACGCGCTAACGAAGTTATAAGAGAGAGTGTTACTTCGTTATAAGATATATACTTCTCCTCTCCACACAAGTATTCATAGAAAAAAAAGGGTGCGTGTACTTATGTACGCGCGTAAGAAGTTATACTTCTTTGGCATTATTAAAAATAGTTTTTGATTGCATGCAAATAATTAATTATAATTAAATAATCAAAGACTGGAAAAGGAGTCATTATAGTCAATGAAGTTCAGTTTACATTTGAAAAATTAAATAAATAAATATGTATTATTATTCTCTTACATTAAGTGTAACATAAATTCTATTATTATTCGAATGTTGTTTTTAAATTATGCCCAATGCCGTAGCAATTTCCGTGGGCAACTTCATTCTGTTAATTTTGTGTCACGGTGCGCGCGCATCGTAAAATTACACTCTCATCAATTTTTCATAACGCGTCTAAAGAAGTATAACTTCAAAAAATATACAAAAAATAAACTATAGATTATGTAAACAAACACAGACAGACCTAATGAAACAAATAACTGATTTCTAAAGTCGATCAGTGTTGACTTATACAAAATAAACAGCTCCGCTTGAACAAACTAACCCCGGCTTAAACTATTTTAAATCCCTACTTCAAGTTTGAATATTCAAAAATTCATCATAAAATCCAATGTAAATGAAGTAAGGCTAAGTTGCGAAGTTTTAAGTTTTTATAGATTAAACTCTGAAAGTTGTCGACTGTCATTACCCAGTGCCGCTTGTAAAAACTCGATTAGCGACTCCTAACTTCATTCCATTTTGATTGTGAATAGATCGACATCTATAAAGCTGGTGATTGATTATCTGTACAAAACACTAGCTAATTGTGATGATTATATTAACAAAACACCAAAGCGTAAATGGAAGTATAAAATGCATTTTCTATTGAAAAATTTATCACGTGTAGCAATAAACGGTTATTTAAAAATAGAACTCGTGCTCGTGAATATTTGTTTTGATATTCATGTTCTGTTTCTCAATCATTTTTCTTTCAATGGCAAGCTTTTGTGACTGGCACACATTATTAACTGTTCTTAAAGTCAAAATATAACTTAATACAACATAAAACAGAAAAATTTAACAGCAAATAGAAAAAAAACCTGTAGATTATAAATTTTTTATAATGATTAAATAAAGGTAATGTAATTTTTTTAAACATTTTTATATAAACAGATCTAATGGAAGGCGTAAGCGCTCGCTGCAAACAAACTGTATTGTGTATTTTTTTATATTAATACTAATGGCGCTACAACCTTTTAGGTCCGGGCCTCAGATTTTTGTGTCTGTTTCGTGATTTGGTTTTGCTTAATAGATTAGTAGGTAACCTTCTGAGCTTATCACGCCGTACAATTTTTGGGTCTAAGGCATGCCGGTTTCCTCCCGTAGTTTTCATTCGCCGTCAAAGCGAGTATTAATTGCGCACATAGAATGTCCATTGGTGTTAAGGCGGGGATTGAACCTACGACCTCAGGGACGAGAGCCGGAAGTTGTACCAACACTGCTCTTTTTGTAATTGCACTAAGTATTAATTCACATTTTGTAATATTTAGTGGTAACAATGTTTTGTTGTTAAAAAATCTCAGTCTTGAAACATTTAGTTTGATCAAAACAGCTTATAATTGTCCGATACTGCAATTTTTATCAAAATTACGGCAAGACTTTTGATTTCGATAAGACACAACAACCTTCCTTGAACGAATTATAGATAAATTTCATAGTTAATGTATGTAAAATATAAGTTACAATGCGTACAGGCGATGAGAACTTGGAGAAACTGATCGTGGTTGGTAACACAGAAAGCAAAAGATTACGTAGACGTTGGAAATAGATAGTCCGCTCCAGATGTTTCCTTGCTGACCACGACGCTCACTCATGAGCTACCGTCAGAAGAGAGAGAGAGAGATGTAAATTATAACACAGAGGTCCTGGATTCGATATTTCGCAAAATGTTTGAGCAAAAATGATTGTATTATATGGAGTGTATGCTGCTGGTTCTTTATTTGGTAACAGTCACGGCTAACCTGGACATCTTGTCCAGGTTCAGGTGTATTATTACGCAAAACAATAGTTTTGTCCGGTACAACTTATAACATGACATATTAATTATTATTAAACATAATTAAATTTCAAACTAAATATTCATTACTATCCCAAAACCAATTATTACGTTAATGAACACATTGCGCGTGTATAGGCGCGAAAGTAGGCAATTTATCAATACGCCAGTGACTGATCTCAGTAATAAAGTAAATATTAGCAATATCAGAAACTGACGCAACGTTGCGAGTTGGATTAGCTCGACACAGGAGCGATTAGGGTTGCCACGCATAAAATTTTATTAATCTGTTTGATAAAGTCCCGTAAGGTAGTTGAGAAAAGGAGCCAACCAATTCCTATGTCTATTTTATTGTTTACTGACCTCCGGGTTATAGAGATAGGCCTTGATGATTACGATTGGTATAAATTTATATTATTTTATTTTATTATTTACTTTGTATTTAGGCTAAATTTTGTCTGGTGGGGGGAAATTCACATTCCTTGTAGATAGGAAAGCTTCCAGATAATTAATATCCTTAGTGTCCTTTTACTCGTCTATTTATAGGGTCCCTATTTTTTTTTTCTAAGAAAACTAATATGTATTTAAATATTTAAAATACATGTAAGTTGTATCGCAAACGGGTTTTTTTATTATATATAACAAAATTATACCACCGCACGAAAGATAATGAAAAAAACATATCTGAATATTTAACTTATATTTCCTCTATTATGAAGACGAACTTCAACACTTTCTTTTATAAGACGACAGCCCTGCGCGCGATTTATGTCCTCAAGTCGAAACGATGAAATAAAAACTTTTTTACTTAAACCCTGGAATTAGCCCGGGAACTTCACGTTCTGACGTAACCTATTCACTTTATTTCAAACTCGGGAAGATTGATGATTTTCGCTTATAATCCAATTTAGTTAGTACAATTTTCGTGCATATTGAATAAAGTTGGCGTATGACTTACGAGACGTAATGACTGACTAATGTTTGGCAATGAACTATATTCGTTGACTATGAATTATGTGTGGCATTAGCACGAACTCAACTCTGTATGTCAGTTTTTGACAGTTCGCACGCATCGATTTTCCATACAATTTCTATTGTCTATTTTTTTATAAAATTTGTTATTTATTTTTTTATAAAATTTGTTATAAAAATTTTAAATATTTTTTTATAAAGCTTGGCGTAGCAACGCTGTAAAAACTTTGGGAATTCTATACCAACTAGGTAATATGTTCGAGCTGCTCGTTCTGTGGGGTTAATTTAAAGTAAATACAAGTTTTAGTTCAATCGAAAATATTCGTATGCTATTCGTTTTGGCGTACGAGCAAGTTTTAATTGCTATAAGTACCGATTGTCAGTAGAATAGTAAGTATAAGTGCTGTCTCTATAAATACTACTATAAAATGTACCATTTATACATTACATAGGTTACAATGTTACATGACTACATAGTTCAAGCAACCACAGTGAGCTTAACTGGTGCGGCTGTATGTTCGGAATACAGATAGCTACCAGACATACATGTTTGGTTGAATAGATATTGAATATTAATGTTCTGATTTGTGGGATGCACGTAACGTAATATACTAAAATTTGTGCGTACTTTAATACGTCTATTTAATTGGTTAATATTCACAGTTAGCGTAATACAGCTATAATAAACTGTGATTTAATAGAAGATGTGCTTGTCGGTTTTTCTCAGACTATTTCTTCAAACCGGATTTCAAAACCCCTCTCACAACCGAATAATTTGACATATCAATGATCTACTATAAACGGAGAAGTTATTCGTGGACTAAGACCTTAAAGATTTGCAATATATACTAATATTGTAAACTTAATGTGTGTTTGATTGACCGCACTTATCTCAGGAAATAGTTCGAATTAAAAAAAGAATATTCTATTGTATCTTGATCTATGGAGCAAAACGACATGCTACGGTCAACACAACACGAGTGCCACATAATACAGCTAGTAAACATAAATACTAGCTGACTTTTATATATTCTAAATTAACTGACATACCAGCAGGAACAATTTGGAAGACACAAGGCTTATGCTGCGTGCCCACGGTGTTTGTAGCTCTGCATAGTAACGCGCCGTAGTCCCTTTCGCTGGCCGCTCGATATCTTAACTCGCTTGCGGTACCACCAGTAGCTACTAGAAATACAATTATTACAATTTATTTATTTACATTATAGGCCATAATAACAACAACCAAAAAAAGCAGTGTTGGCCTAGTGGTTTCGGAGTGCGACTCTCATACCTGAGGCCGTAGGTTCGATCCCCGGCTGTGCACCAATGGACTTTCTTTCTAGGTGCGCATTTAACATTTGCTTAAACGGTGAAGGGAAACATCGTGAGGAAACCGACATGTTTTAGACCCAAAAAGTCGACGGCGTGTGTCAGGCCCTGGAGGCTGATCACCTACTTGCCTATTAGATTTAAAAAATGATCATGAAACAGATTCAGAAATCTGAGGCGAAGACCTAAAGGGGTTGTAGCGCCACTGATTTATTTTATTTTAACAACAACCAATCTATAGCTATATTATTGTTTTCTGAAGAAAAAATTTAAGAATTATTCTTGTTTGTGCATTCCCAAAGAAATTGGTCAGAAAGAAATGCCCTGAAATAATATTTAACCGGGAGAAATTCTCACCATATCTAGCAGGAGAGACTTGAAAGCTTTCCCCACTGTTATTGAACTGCCAGTAAAATGCCACATCGGCCGGGTCAGCGCTGACTGTACACCTCACACGGAGAGACTCGTCAAGTCTTGCTCCAATTATTACTGGTGTGGACTGAGCACAAGTTGGCGCATCTGAAAAACAAAAAATAATTATATGAAAAAGTAGGTTATGTAATTGTAAAAAAAATTGCGTTACAGTAGACATGATAAAGTAGTAATTCAACGGTTAATGTAACTACAATATCGCGGGAAATATGTGCGGCCACAGGTAACTTATACATATATGTACTTATGATACAGCATACAAAAATACATACAACAAAGATATAAATTTTTATTAAACTAAAAAAATGTTTCCTAGAGATAATATACTGTAAGGCTAAGCAAACGTTAGTCGGATCAGCTAGTTATTAGATAAAAACCAAAATAGTCGGTAAGTGTGAAGAAAATGAGCAATTTAAAACACTTAGATACAGAATAGAATGTTAAACGAAGTACTTTGCAAATAAGCAAGCTGAGTTCGGTCACTCTTTGCATTTGCATCACAATCACGAGTTTGCGGTTTCTCTGCAGACGTCTTAAGGACCTTAGTTTATAAATTTAAACTATTTCTTCATTTGAATATTTCTTTTACAAGTGTAAATTATTTTTTTCTTACTGACATCCAAGCAATCTTTCTCAAAGCTTTCTTCTTACTGATGGAAAATAATTAGATCTTACATCAACTTACTGAGTGATGTCCAAAACGAATAAAAATAAAACTTAAAATTTTAAAAATTTACTGAAATTATAAGAAACTGCGATAAAGTTTCTATTGCAGTTCTCGATATTAAAAAATATACCTTGCTTATACCACGGTGAACATAAGCATATATGGAAAAAGAAACGAATTTAGTATACATAATAAATAAGGAGAAACGTGTGCAATTCATACGTGGTAAAAGTGAAACATTCATTTTGTTTTCAATGTTATGAGACGAATGTAATTTTATTTTTTAAGTTTAATGGATAATTATTAATTTTGATATTAAAAAAGCTTTTATAATATATAAACTCCTTTTTATTTAATTATGTCTATTCTACTATATTAAAGTATATGCTACGAAGTGTTAATAAATAAATAAATATAGAATGTAAATTAGACTTTTTTAAGTTTGAAAGTCGATGAAACGAAAAAGAGACGAACACATAAATTCATATGATTTAACGTGGCAGAAAATGAGATAGCAAGCGTTATACAGTTTTAACTTCAAAAAATTTTTATAGTTAAAGTTATGTAAATAAAATTTATAAATTTAATCTAATTTTATAATTTATTTCTTATTAAATTTCTTTGCACATCTGTTTTTTTTTAATTTAGAAAATGATTAAATACACACTAATTTAAAGTTTATACTCTGTATGTAATGCTTCCTATCTCATTTTCTCCGTGTGTCTCTTTTTCGTTTCATCGACTTTTAAATCACAACGATTCTAAAGAAGTTTTCACTTCAAAAATAATGTGCAATACCCACCCTAGGATTCTCTGAGTCGTGGACAGCTGTCTACCCATTTAACATTATACCGATACTGGACATAATAATTTCTATATAGCACTTAGAATTCTATAATTAAACTATTGTTGCACAATAAGAATAATTTCCGTTTCAGCAGGACAGGTTAAGAAGATGTTGTTTAAGATTGTTAGTGACTGTATCAAGTTTTGAATCGTTAGTGAATATTGCCTTGGCATTGGCCTCAGAAGGAATAAAAAGCGTTGAATATAAAGTGAGAGGAACGTCATCACAGCTATATGTTTTATCGGACCGTTTTTATATAGAATGTTTCATGGGTTTTTATGTTTAGCTTTTTAATAATAATATACTAACACTAAGTCCGTAAGTTTATACTAACATAATGATGGATTATTTTATCTGAACAAATAAATAAATATATATATAAATACTTACATTGCACTCTCAAGTACACGGACTGACTGGTGGTTTCCCCAATTTGATTGGCTGCCCTGCATGAATATAAACCAACGTCTTGTCTCGTTACTCGCTGGAGTACCAACGACTTGGTACTAATGAAGACCCCAGAAGACATGTTCTGGCTGACTGATTCATCCTATAAGTTTTTATTTTACTTATTAGATAAGATGTTTTGTTAATTTTTTTAACAACGTCTCCACGTAAGCCTCAATTAGTCGCACTATGGAAATACAATATCTAATAAATTTCGCATATTTACGTTAATAAACAAAACAACTTAGCGGGAAATAAATGTAACTTTTTTGTCATACTTGATATGTTTTTAAAATAATAATACTTGAATCTGCGCATTAAATACGCGTTAACGCGTTTGACAGTTTATAGTTAAAATACATCAAAATAAATAATACTAAAATAGTAATATTAATACTGATTGTATAGCAAAAATTAAGAACCTTTTTAATAAAAGAAACATAATATTTTGTTTTTGTAAAGTTACATTAATTCCAACAAACAAATATATTTACGATATTCCTAACATACATCGTAATGGTAACAATATTAATAAAATTAAACTTATAAACATAAACTACTAATAATAAAATAATATACATTGAAATAAATAACGAAACTTAACATAAACTAAAATATATCATGTAACTAATATTTCTTGCCAAAGTATGGTAAACATTATAAAATTTAGTATTGTCTTTGATTTACATAACCTTTACACATTTAAAGAAAAAACTGTTTAACCGGATTGAAGTTATGTATTATTATAAATTTACAACTATTTAACATAATTTTAAATTTATCCGACGTTTCGCGTGCTTTACAGCGTGCTTGGTCACGGTGAACTTCAATCCGGTTAAACAGTTTTTTCTTTAAATTATAAAATTTGTTACTGTTGCTACGAGTTCTTATTGTCAGTATCTTCTTTATTCGTATTTCATAGAAAGGGCTCGTACCAATTACTTGTATTTTGTACAGATTATATAAAATACCTAGAAATAATAAACATAGTATATAATATATATAGTATACAATACATTTATAAAATATAAACAAATCGGAGATATATCTTACTCAAAAACCCGTATGCCAAATAAAATTGTACTAATTAATCACAAGTTGTGGAAAGTAGCTCACCGTCCACTTTTAATATTTTTAAAATGTTCTCTTAACAACTCTTCATTCGAGCTACCTTGTTACAATTTACGAAATTAAACTTTATTTTTATGAATTTTAAACTGTACGATGGGCTCTTAAAGAATATTCTGTATTTAGTGATTTCGAAAATTTATCAAAATAGTTATTTTAGTTAGGCTATATGACGGATATTTCTTAAACTTAAAATTGCAGGACAAAAATTACAATTTACGAGATTTCAAAGTAATAATAAAACAAACTTTAATAATAATAGCAAAATAAACGAATAGTAAGGGCTCTATCTCAAATATAATATTTTTAAATGTAAATTTCCAGCTCCTTCTGAATGACTTTTGAAAGTGAGTGAGAAAAACGCACAATAATATTAATATTGTTGGATTTCAGTTTCGCCAGTTTCTTTTGTTTTAATTTGTCTTAAAAAAACCATGGCGCTTGTTTTGTTATAAAACTCTTAAATTTTTATATCTGTCGTTTTATATATATTTTTAAATAGGTTATCTTCGGTATATGCCCGAGAAATGCCTTAAATTTTTAGGTATAAGGCATGTTTCCTCAAGAGGATTTCTTTCATCGTACAAGAGAGTGTTAAATGCGCACATAGACACGACGCACGTGTAGTGGCGTACGCCGTGTTCCGAACGCAAAACTACTTCACGCAAAATCAATTCATTATTGTATCTAAACTTTAACTTCATGTCACTTTTATAGGTAATAGTATGTTCAAGACCGAAGAGCAAAACTAAAAGATATATTTTTACATAGTGAAAAGCACTATTGTTCTAATTAACTTAATCACATGCATACTCTAGAACAGTCCATCATACGAGTAATACACTGCACCGGTGGCTATTTCCCTTATGAAAAAGAAAATTTTATAATAAATGTTTAACTCACTCACGTTATGATACCATGAGATGCGGTGCTCTTTAGGATTGGATTTTATGTTGCACTCAAAGTATACGTCGTCGCCTTCCTTTATATCATTCGGGTTGAGGGTGCTGCCCAGGGACATAGTTACGACCGGCCTGTCTGTAGAAATTAAACCTTACTTCACCCACATAAAGCCTAAAATGCCTTGAAATAAAAACTGCAAGTACCCAGTGCAATTTCCCAAAAGTTCTCGAATTGAGTTGTATGAAATCGAGGTGTTTATTTCATATCCGTGTGTTAAGATTTTGTTAACATTCAGACTAATTTCAGCCTTATTTCGGTGACACTAAGAACACTTTTGAATGAAGAAAATGTCTAGTTTTGATAAGAAAATCGAGGATATTTAGATAAAAGTCGGAAAATTAGTTTTTCTATCTGAGAGATCTCACGTAGTCGAATTGTTGTTTTGCTACATTACGCTTATTTTATGTTGATTCGTTTTATTTATATTTAGAACGGGCTTTTGCAATTTAATGTAAACAAACATCTTAGTTTTTATAGGAGGCATTCGACGTTTGCGAAAAGTCTTATAAAGTATATATTATTATTACTGATAAGTATTGTGCTTGTTCATACATATGAGTATCATATAAACTGTAACCTAAAACAATTGATTACTTGCACAGCCAATGAAAATATCATCTGTAGAATCGTCTAAATCCGTAATTACGTATTTAATAAATATATCAAATTTGTTTTATAGCAAGTAACCTCCAAATCTAGTTAATGATTTTGTGATGCTAAATGGGAGTATTTACGTAAACTTTATTTCATTGTAAAAATTAATATACACGTGTAGACATACCATCAAATGAATTGTATCAAACAGCCCTGTTATTTCGATATAATACTCACAAACAACGCCCATTTTAAATGAGTCTTCCAAAGCGACTCTGAGTATCGGATTATCAGCTCGACACCTTATTGTTGTACCATCGTCTTCTGGTTGCGGTAACATGCTGAGTTTACTAACAGTAGACGTGTCGTTGATGTACTCGCTGTGCTGTTGAATGAAAATACAAGATTATGTGTTTATGTGTACTAAGAAAAATACTTAAAGTATAATTTGTCCCATGCAACGTTAAAAAAAGTTCGTCAAAGCTAAGTAGAAGTTCGCCATTCGATGTGCGCCTAAATAATAACGGAGAACATAATGAACTATAAGATATAAATAAAAATTTAAAACAAATGCTATTTGTAACCGAATTTGCATGCTATTCAATAATGGATTATTTAATAGTCGGAAATGTTGTCTGGACATTTAATTCTATCAATTCAATCTAAAACCTACTTTATTGCATCCAGAAATGCTATGAATAAAATAAGCAGACTTCCTTCTTTTTTCATTGCACATTTATCACTTCGTATTTTAATAATATTAATACGATTATTTAACTAAATATATTATATATTTTATTCTGCAAATAGTCAAACATATAATTATTGACTTTTGTGCCAGTGGCTTCAGCGTGAGACTCTCATCCCTGAGGTCGTAGGTTCGATCCCCGGCTGTTCACCAATGGACTTTCTTTCTATGTGCGCATTTAACATTCGCTCGAACGGTGAAGGAAAATATCGCGAGGAAACCGAAATATCATAGACCCAACAAGTCGTCAGCGTGTGTCAGGCACAGGAGGCTGCTCTCCTACTTGTCTATTACATTGAAAAATGATCATGAAACAGATTCAGAAATCTGAGGCCCAGACCTAAAGAATTTGTAGCGCCACTGATTTATTTAAATTTTTATAATAATTATTGATGAACTGAAACTTAACTTGCTATAGAATGTTATAGAAGTAGGGTAAAATTTATAAGACGTTGGTATCAAAACAGATGTTCAAATGACTTGTTTAAAATACCTTTCCTCTAGTATATTTCCTGTTCTCTCGATACCATGTGACCTGGGCTGGTGGTCTACTGCCATGTGTGATGCAGACCAGTGTAACTTCAGAGTCTGCAGATAGCTGGCCAGGCTTCTCTATTATTGATACTGATGTTGGTCGCACTAGGGATTAGTTTACGATTACCAAAGTTCTTATGCTGCTTCTTGAGTTCGTCGAATATCAGAAATTTAGCAACGGTATCAAGCATCAATCAATAATCGTATACAGTGTAGAATATATATATATGTGATTTTGTTCTAAACAAAAACTTTTAATTGTATGAAACTCCTTTGAAAGTTTAAATTTTACTCGTTTCAAGTTGAATAGAATACTTTTAAAAATTCACCTACTTAAGTCATCAATCTTATATAATTTCTGCTTATTTTGAAACTGATAATTAAATCAATCGGAATCTACTAGACGATATGGTGATCATATATATATTTAAATTTTTTGACAACTTATTAAACCAATGTGAATTGTACATCCCTTAAATATGTTTAGGAAACATCAGAGTAAGATTTTTCACACCTTGATTACATGTATCTACAAAAGCTCTATTTCAAACACTTGACGCATATTTTTAAAATAGTATTGCTACTTTGATAAACTTAGATTTAAACCGAACCATTTTATTACACCCATAGCGATCCCGTCACGTCTGCTTAATAAGGAAACTTACAATTCATTTCCACCCTAGCGGTGCGTTCGTGTGGACTCAACAGCGCTGTGTTCGTCGCCTGACATCTCACTGTGCTATTCAGCCAGCTTCGTTCAGCGCCACTTACGCTGATTTTACTGATGATAACTTTGCCATCATTTTTCAGGATGATGTGGTCATCAACGGGTGTGCTATTGATGAGCCAGGATAGTGTTGGTTGAGGGCGGCCTATGGATTGAAACACTAAGATTAATGCCATCAAAAACATAACTTTAAAAAAAAACAAGTCTCGTAAAAGTTGTGAGATCCACCTAATACCAAGTCGGAGAATTTATTCAGTCCCTACTTAAGGGACCAACTGTCTTAAGTTATTACGCAATAAGCTAACCTAACAACATACTGAGTACTGACCATATCAAAAATACAAATCTTTTATCTTTTTAATAAATACATTGAATTAGCCATCACATGGAAACATAATGAAAATGTAAGCAAATGCACTAACAAATTATATTGCTTAGTGCGATTGCCAAGTCAATAAATATATATTGGCTTCTAATTTTATCTATAACGAAGTTATAGGGGGATTTTCGACCCCTATAACCTCGAAGCCTGAACTGCTTCGAGAAAAGGATGGCCGTGCCGCTTTTTTGCTCGACTTCGCGGGCGCACTTTCGTGCCCCCAGATAGTATTGTTTTGTTTATATTACATAATCAGGAACCTACTACCTAGAACAACAACGGTTTAAGGCAACCTTACCGGCGCAAATATTACTATTAACTGCCCATTTGCGTTTTTGAATCACTGCTCAAAAAATACAACCATTTCATTAATTTAATTTCAATAACTTCATTACGACTTTATGCAAAAAAACCTGAGAGCTTAATACACGCTGCGTGGAAATGAAGGATTTATATACTTTTATACAACTTGCAACACTAAAGGAGGTTTACAATACTCCAAAAATCGATTAAAAAGTACTTATTTAATTTGAATTTGGAACTTTAACGTTCTGAATTCAAAACTTCATGGCTCTATATTAATCTATATGGAGAAACCCGAAACAATTCTGCTACTGGATAAGATACAAACCACTAAAAATACATAATGATTTGTATGTAAACCGTAAATATTTTGTCCTCATTACTAAAGTAATAAGAATAAAGTTAGACTACAGCACTCCTAGCCATAAAGCATATATAAATTCTCAACAAGTTACCGAAGACGTACCAAAGAATTCACCTGAATTCAAATCAATAATTCCATCAGCGATATCTTAAAGTGTTTGAATAAAGTATGAAAGTACTGAACGTGCTGCGTGAAGGCCTTCAGTTAAAAGTTGGGCACTTCTCATAACGAGACGGTATATTGCATCGGCACCGAGTTTTAACTTTACCTCGATATTTCCAAAGTAACAGAATATTACTTTTATGTTATAAAATACCCATACATTCATATAGGCATACTAAATGCCTACCTTAGATAGGCTTTGTTTTGTTATTATTATAACTATACATTACTATATTTGTTATTATTACTAATTCCTGATTTGATGCTGTGTAATTTTTTATTTTTAAAGTTTTAATGACGCTTACGTATAAATAAATATACTCGTATTGTACCGGATCCAAGGTGAATCAAATTTTTTATATGTTTTGTATTACGTTTAAAAGAGAAAACTTTACCGGAAAGTGCATTTTACCTTATTATTTATTTTAGATAATTGAAATAATAAATCGGTTTTTGATTCTATTACCAAAGATTGCATTTATTTTTACTATTTTCCTAAATATTTTACAAGCTAATTCGATATTTTATATATTTATTTATCAGTTTTAGATATATTTAGAACACTAAACATATACTTAGATATTCAGACACACCATACTTTTTAACATTTCAGGTAAAAATACTAGAAGGTAGGAAGGAAGGAAGGTAATATATATATACATTTAAAAATATTTATTAAATTCGAAAAAGCGTGAAAATATAAACATTTTTTTATAATAATATTTAGGAAACTGAATGAAATCCATGAAAACAAAAAGATAAGAACAATCTTCTCTGAGCCTTTTGCACAATGGTGGGAATAACACAACCTTGAAACGAGATTTCTTTAAGCCTTTTGTTGGAAAAATCTTGCCGAACTCCATAAAGATATCATCAAAAGAAATAAGCTTAGCATAACGTTGGACCTATAGTCTTAGAGATATTTATTCATGTTCTGTTTAAATATAAAAAAAATTCTATAGTATTATTGGAAATCTCGCCTTAATATTAATAATTTTTTTCGCTATAATTTTGTTAGGATAAAAAACTGCCTTTAAGTCGTTGCTTTTCCAAATTAGTAAAATAAATAACTAATTAATATTTTTACATCATGCAAAGGTATTTAGACAGTCTGTTAAAATAGGCCGAGAGGTAGTCGCTTAGTTTATTAGATTCTATTTATCATTTAGAAAAACGTAGAGTAAAACGTTAATTGCAATAGTAGGAATAAGAATAAATTAGTGTAAAGGCGGAATTTAAGCCCATAACCTCCGAGTTTCACCTGTATATTACATAAATTGTAATTTTTCTAAGATCGCAAGTAATACATGCTCGCATCGAAGCAAATCAACTTGACAACGACAATGTTACACATAGAGTAATATTCAAGTGTTTCCAACCAATTCGACTTAAGGTCCTTCATGAAAAGAGCGTACCGCTTTTTAAAAGGCCGGAAACGCACTCGCGAGCCCTCTGGCATTGAGTGTTCATGGGCGGCGGTATTACTTTATCAGGTGAGCCTCCTGCCCGTTTGCCCCCTGTTCAATAAAAAAAAAAACATTCGCAAGTTAAAAATATATTGGGTCATACCTAACGCTAAGTCTTAACTTAAGACATTTCAGTGACAGACTAAATGACTGGATTGTTGCCTATAAAGTTGATCTAAGCAGAAATGTGTTTAAGCAGAATTTAACCAATGTACCGTGGTGTGGTACATTGGTTAAATTCGGGACTTTATACAGATATTGTAAGAAAATCGACATAAATCAATCCACCCGTTTTACCGTGATTAGCAGACATCCAAATTTAACCGGTTTACCGGTAACTCTCAGTCTATAACGGATATTTACGCCACCTCGTTAAATTTTACACCGACGTCAGCGGTTTGCGGTCCCCTAACGAAACATACGGAATAACTTATTATTGCCACAATCTAAAATACTGCGTATGAGCTTTTTCGATTTAATTAAAATTTTCGACAAATGCTGATTAACATAATATACATTTGTCGGTACGTTATATACTTTTATGTTATATTAAACTTATTTTATTCAAAATATATAGTGCGGAAAGGCCGTGCTATAATGAAAAGAACAATGTGAAGACGAGAAGAAGGGTCTCGTTTAATAAGAAATACTGGAATTAGGTAAAGAATGAAGTAGGTTGAGGTTTGGTTTGATTAGCAACGAGTACCCATCATCATTTTGGAAACTGTAAATGGAATTTAACCTAACTGATCAGTCCAGTCCAGTATGAATCCCTTATTTCACATCTCTTACGGCATTTGCGCTTATTTTTTTTATAATAATATTTATAACGTTTTTAACCAGATCCGTTCTTCCAATAACCCACCCACGCTCCATTTAACAGAATGGCTAGACTGTACAATCGGCTGCAGGGCCTCAACAATCTCCTCGACATTTTCTCGGACCGCCCATGCGTATTTTTGCTGTTTTGTAATTTGAGGTATTTTGTTTTGTACACGAGTATAGTAATGTTTATCTGTGTAGACTTATTGATTGTAAACATTGATATTGTTACGAGCTAGGGAATCGGATAGAAAATGCCGTAGATTTATTCAAGGGTTTATTTTCAATTAAATCTACAAGGAATTTGTTTACACTAAAAACCGGAAATTACGCACAGAAATTCACTAAATACACATACACAAAATACTGTCACTAATTATTTAATTACACGCACTTCACACAGTACTTTCTTACTCTAGGCGGGAGCGCTACTGAGTAGCGATCGCACAATTCTAGAACGTGCGTACTCGCTATCTCTTTCTCACACTGCTCCGTCTTTGTCTAGAGTTCTCGGTCTAGCTTCGTTCTTGTCCCACAGTTAGAAAATTCGGTCTAGAATATTCCTTCATAAAAGGGGTATGTATAACCAGGCCTGAAAACGGGTTTCCTGAAAAGTGTGCCACTCGACTACACTTGTTCTGAAAATGCCTGAAAAAAAAATCACATTTCAGCCTGCTGAAAAGTTCTCTAACTAGTGGAAAAAATTTAAAAACATTGCAGTCGACCCGTCTTCGTAACAATATGTTATATGCATTATGTTTGTGCACACCGTCCGCACCTATTATCGCACACATTGGGTGCAAAATTTATAACTTCTTCTAACCTGTTTATAGTTGTGGTCTTTTTGGCGCGACTTTTAATAAATAAATAAAAATATAATTTTAGTTTTTATAAACATGAAAATTGGAATAAACGATAACATTTTACTGCTATGATTACCCATACCATACCCATATAATTAGATATAGGTCTTTTCATTAAAATTACTGCTTTTAAATCTTCAGAGACACATATCTTTTATTCATCACGGGAAAAAACTCATAACGCAAGTCCGAAGTCGAGCGACAAAATATTTCTCATCTCGAATTTAAAGTTCCGAACTATGTACAAAGTTTTCAAGCACTCAATTCAGTTTGTTTTTCTACTGTCGTAGTTTAAATTAAAATAAAAAAAATATGTATAACCTAATCTATTTGTATTTTGATTATTACGAAAAAAAGATTGGGCCAATTACAAAAATATTTTTAAAAACATCCCTGATTATAGAAACTTATATTATTATTATATTTCTAAAATATTTAGAATATCTAACCGTGCACAGGCCGCTTATAACGCGAATGGATTTACTAAAAAAATGGATTATTCATCACAATATTAATAACCGTCGTTCCACAACCGAGTGTTTTATAAGGCAGTTTTTGCCGCGCACCTCCACTAATTGAATCCAGCCACCGATGCATCTTCGAACCAATTCGACTAAGGGTCCTTCAAGGAAAGAACGTTCCAGTTCTTAAACGGCCGGCAACGCACTTGCGAGCCCTCTAGTCTAGTCAGTTTCCCTGACCGTTTGTCCCTGTTCTATATACTCGTAATAAAAAAAATTGGTATTTGTTAAATGTGTGAAGTTATACGTAGAATATCTGCAATATTCCATACTGCATGTTTTCAAAAGGGTTCATCACCTCTATAATAACTATAAAATATAGCCCCAGTGATTCAGAGATCGCAACATTAGTGCTACGGGTATTGAGAGACAATTTAATTACCACTAGATGGAAATTGCATACAAAAATGGTCAGATGTCAGTATGCTACCGTTATTCGAAGTTGCAAGACCAGTTCTGCTACGTCGTAGCAGTCAAGGTCTACGGGAATGATTGCTGAACGCAGACTTTACTATAACTTTAACTATTCCAAGGGTGTACATAAGTTATAAATTTTCTCTTGAAATTGACCCCTTCCACCCACCAAAACTTACCATAAATTATAGTTTAAATTCCTGGCTTTGTTAAATAACATATTTAAAGTTTAAAAATAAATAATAATGGGTTATTAAGTATAAATAATACTGTGTGCCTGTTAAAGGACGTACAATTTGTTATTATTGTTTGTTTCTAGATGTAAGATTTTATTGTAATGCGCGTTGGCAAGCCGTTTTTTTTAAAGATCAGTTTTTAATATACACACCAAACAACAATACATACATTGTAAGTTATTGTAGAATGAAAGGAGTGTGAGACTTAAAGAGTTGTTATTAGTTAAGGTCGTGTATAGGTGCGTAATACTTAATAATTAAGTTATACAATAATAAATTCATTGTAATCCTTATGAATGAGTCGTCTATAGCTTGAATAAGCTGAAAGATACAGCTGTAATAAATTCCTTGTCTTACCTGTTATTTTTCATAGAAATTGAGATTTCCCTCCATCAATGTTTACGTAAACATTATTTTGGCAAATCAACGCGGATAAGGTTGAAATTCGCTTGAAACGTTTTGATAAATGCCCTCCGTTGTAACAGAAGTGCCATTTGTAACGTTAATAGTTTGTTTCTACCTATTTCCGCTTCTATTTCAACTTCAAGTGTACCTATTGTCCTGTCTGTTTGAGCGATATCATATTCTTCGCATCTTTGTTATGTATGTGATTCACGACCTTGTGTGCACACGGTAAAGTTATGATTCCTTTGAAGTATTTTTTCTGTTTGATTGATGTTATTGTTTCTTTAGGATTATGAATTTGGGGGAAAGAAAGAGGAAATGGACTGTAAAATTATTTTAATGTTCTCCAGCCTAATGTAATGATAATAACTTTGACGTTCGTTCCGTCTCTGTTGTAAAGAAATTTATTATTCGAGAATGTTTTTATCATGCTTACAAGATAAATAATATGTACATTATTTAAGACGTAATTATGTATCATACTAATGTAAATTTATACTGGGGTTTACGTATAAATAAACAGTAATTATTGATGTGGTTTACCAAATCTGTCCCAACTTCGTGTGTTCAAATGCCGTACCACCAATAGATTTTTGTTTTATCTGAGCGTAATTAACTTCATACGGTGAAGATAAACATCGTGAAATTCTGATCTTTTTCATACAGAGGGAAACGAGCAGGCGGGTAAACACTTAAAATAAAATGGAAACCGCCGCGCATCGCCCGGAGACTTATAGTTGTACTATATATCTATCTTCTCTAATCTCTATATATATAAAATTCTCGTGTCACAATGTTCGTTCCCAAACTCCTCCGAAACGGCTCGACCGCTTCTTATGAAATTTTTTATGCATCTTCAGTAAGTCTGAGAATGGGCTACTATCTATATTTTAAAGTGTCCACCCCAAAAAAAAATATATTTTATTATGTGGCATTAAAAAATACATACAACCCTTAATTTTCACCCCTCGTCGGTCAACTTCTATTTTTTATTTGTTAATTAAAACTTATTGATTGAACTTGAGGTCTCTATAGAGAAAATTCACAGATAAACCTAAAAAGTTTTCATTCCGGAAAACCGAACAGTCTCTGGGGTAGCATAGCAAAATGCGCCATGTTGGTATGTACTAAAAAGGTAGGCTAAGTAAAATCACATTAAGGCGAAACGAAGTTCGCGGGGGCAGCTAGTGTTAGTATATTACGTCCCCTGCCAGTAGGGTACACTGTTTGTATATAAGAAAAATGTTCATAAAAACAGATACAGTCTGTTTTTATAACAGATAAAGCAAAGTGAATTATTATTATTGACTTCAGAAGAGGTTACGCTACTTACCACCTCTAAGTTCGCAGAGTAACGTAAAGTTACCACCCTCTTCTAAGGGCCCCACGACACCTGCCAAATCTCGACCGGCTTCGTCGTACAGCAGCAACTGATGTGGTGGTACTGGAAATATAAATAAATTAAATATAAACTCGATTTGACGGTTGCCAAGTATCGCTGAAATTTTATTTAAATGTGCAGTACTTGCGTGAAAAGTAAAATTTATAAATCGTATGATAGCCCATTGAAAAAAAAAACAGTATGAGTTGAGCCACAGACAATTAATAGACTGATACAATGATGGAGAGAGTAGTGTTGGCCTAGAGGTCGGCGTTCGGAAAACGTCGTAAGGAAACCCAAAAAGTCGACAGCGTGTGTCAGGCACAGGAGGCTGCCCTGCGATTCTGTAACTCACTTTTCGAACTCACACAGCGGTTTTCGCATCGGCGGTCGCTCAGAAATCAGTCGTGAAGCAGTCGTTTCATGATTTGGCATTCTAATAAGCAATAAACTACAAGCTCCCACCTTTTCAGAATGTCAAATCATAAAATGACTGCTTCACGACTGATTTGAGAGCGACCGCCGATGCGAAAACCGCTGTGTGAGTTACAGAATCGCAGGGCTGATCACCTACTTGCCTATAAGATTGACAAATGATCATGAAACAGATACAGAAATCTGAGGCCCAGACCTTAAAAGGTTGTAGCGTCATCTTTTTATATCAAATGAGACATAGGTATAAAAATACACTATAATAAATAACAAGTATTAGCTTGAAATTATCTTAATACACCTATTTGAATTTAATAAAGTTTACTTGTTAAAAATAATTTTTAAACTTACCGACAACATTGAGTCGTATCTGAAAATTCCTTGTGGGTGAGTTCTTAAAATCGACCCTACACCTGTAAATACCCTCATCATCCAGCTGGACAGCCTCCACGGTTAGGGATGAAGGCCTGGACATCGTCACGAAGTAGGCTCGCTTCCCGAAAGCCAGCGGGTCACTCCAATGTAAGGCTTTGTTGAAGCTGCGTCCACGCACATCAAAACTACGAAAAAGAATACGAAAACGACTTAAAACAGGTATAATTCAGCCAGGTGTTAGTGCAAAGAATGGTTATCTTCGAGAAAATTTATTATTACATTAAAAATAAATAGGTATCTTAATTCGCGATGTTATATTTATCTAACAAAACTAGGTATGAAAGTTAAAATTTAAAAAAAAACGAATAATAGGTACAATTTATTTATAGCATAACAGATTATAGTTCTATAATGATAGTCCTATTTGAAGTATATTAAGGAGACGATTCTGTGAAACCTTTAAGCTATGCGACGTCCTCGCCCAATAAAGCTTCCAAAAACACGCTAATCAAAGTTTACATTTCTCGTTTAATCTTTCAATCTTTTCAAAGCTATCTAAAAATACCTAGAAAATGTATAAAGCTTCAAACGTTTTTTTCTACAATTTACAGGCGACTAGCAACAGAAGCTTATTTCCAAGCTGAAAGAACAGCTTATCTAATGCCCCGTTTATCAGACGCTAGAGCACACGTCGTTACGGCAAACACCAGGGTTGGACTTTGTTTATTTGCTATTGGAGCCATCAAATAATTACGTATACTTATATATGTATTAGTTTAAATTATTATAAACGTTGTGTTGGAGAATCAGAATACATAACAAAAATAACGCAGAAGCTAAACCTCTTATATATCTAATTACGGGGGTACGTTTTTTTTAATATGGCAATTTCAAATTGTTTAGCTTGAATCAATTATTATGCAAAAAATTGAGTACAGTACCACCACCAAACGTAAATGTTATGTCTTTAAATTATTCCTGGCGAAGTATTTTTTCTTACGTTTATTATAATTTTATATATATACTACTACTACTAATAAATTCTCCTAAATAATAAATCCTTCTTAGTAAATTGACTTACTTTTACTTGACTTAAGGTCCTATAACCCCTAGAGGGGGCATAGGGCGTCCACAGTGAGTCTCCATCGCGTAAATTAGGTTAGTAAATATATTATTGTTGGTAAATTAATTATTAGTCTTAAGTAAGGCTAGATAATGTTACATTGTTATTTTTAGGCAGAGACAATAATTTATAAAAGTAGACGAATTTTATAATCGCTACTATACTCTAATTGTGAGGCCAGTCATAGGGCCCTATAGTTTTAAATCCGTCCCTGTATCACAGCACACTCCCATATTGAAGCCGATTTGCGATAATCCCACACGTTAATATCCGAATCGGAATGGAAGCACAAATGTGGAGTTCGCTCGTTAGATTATTGCGAAATTACCTGCGATGGTTTTGAGTTTAGTTCGATACCCAAAATGGTGAAAACAAGTGATAGCTCGTAAAATACAGATCGATTAAAATTATTAAGAAAGGAATAAAAACACAAAGAAATAAGTTTTTGAAGTATTTATTGTTTAAATATGTAAATAATTATTATACATAAAACCAATAATTAATCATTTCTGTTCCGTTAATTCTGCTATAATAAAATTAAAGTTCTACAATACAAAGTATAGGTATAATAAAAATATGATATTATATCGTCTTCTTGTTTACTATAAAGTTTAATGAAAAAAATATTAAAGCATGTATTAGTATTTTAATTAAGGATCGTGTTATTTTAATATGCAATTTTGATACTTCAGGAAACGAATGGAGAAAATGAACCACAGACAGAGTCAGTTGGAAAAAGCTGGAGGAGGGCTTTACCCGGGAAGGGGTTCCAATCGACGGTACTGAAGGAAGCTAGGATAACAAGCAAAAGAAAAGATTTTTTTTTATAAAAATGTTAAATAATCTAAGATTTTTTGTCATGATTGTAAGTAAAACGGGCTTTATTATTATTATTATTAATTTTGATGCTTTATACTGCCGTCCCGTAATTTCTTTTGCAAAATGGTAGAGCCAGAACTTAAATTGTATGTGCATGTAATTTGATTGATGAGCAATAATTTTTGTCTAATAATTTCATGATTAAGTTACTTCATTTAAATGTAAGCATAGCGTTCCAACCGTTCTTTTAAAGGGACTTTTCTATATGTACAGAAAAGGTAAACGTCGTAAGGAAACGATTATCTCATACGAATATGTCAGGCACTTTTTAATCACCTATTTTGCCTTCTAGAAGTAGACAGAAATGTGTCTGTTCTATGAGTACTTTAACTTATCCTTATTTGGATGAACGTCAGCTGGTATTTTGGCAGTACTAAAAGGGATTAGTTCAAGTCAGCTATCAAGGAATAACGTCAGTACAAGTAAACTAAGTACGAGGGAGCGAAGTGATTCGTCTTGCAAGCTCCTCTCATTAAGTGTGATAAAACGGTCTAGAATCTAGGCTATATGTGTACATAATTACAGTACCTATGAGATTAGCTTAGCTGGCGCTAAAGTGCACGCTTAGGCGTTAATTACTTACCATTTGTTTGCGACAATCGATATATTTATTTACGTTTGGGGATTTTTAGATTTTTCAACTGTTAAACATTTTAGTGGATGAAAATTTTAAAAAAATATTGAAAGATCGTTTTTCGTTTATTTTTAAATTTGGAGCGATAATTTTTGTTTTAATTTTGATAAATAAATACGTTGAAATGGTTTGCCTAAGCTCACATAAACGAGCTACATAGCCAAGTGAATGCTGAGGCAATCCAACTTCTTAACACGTGCGTTGCATTACGAGATCTATCAGATCTCTTTCTGGACTTTTGTATTGTGCGTTGAACATAATCGTGTTTTTTCATTCCTTGCGGGAGGATCTAACTTGTAAAGTAGTATAAGCAGGTCAAATATATATATTTGCTTCCTACTTAAAGCTGAATTAAAGGACATTAAAAAATAAATTAGAGATGGATTAGGTCCCTAACGCACAGTACTGTAATTGTTTTAATTCCTTGCGTTAGGAGATATGTCGGTACTCGTAAAATCGTACGCCTCGTAGACGCAAAAGAGGGAGGATGGGCGACGCGGGCGCTGCGTGACTCTTTTTTAGTGTTGTTCAGAATCGACATGGTAAGTCGATAAAAATGTTGGTAAATTTCCAAATTTGCCCCCCCATTGGCTAATAATGACAGTGATTCTGATTATGAAATATTTGACGTACCTACAAAGAAAACGATGAACCTTTTTCGTTGGAGCACACGCAGTTAAACAGCACTGACGCTTCTATAAAATCTAAACGAATTGTTATACTTTTGCGCGTAATGTGCAAGCAATCAATGTGCTTACCATGTTTAAATGTAAAAGACTTTGCATAATAAATAAAACTTTTAGAATCGATAACTGAGATATTATTTTATTCCCATCACTACTTACTACACATATTGAACTAACTTCGGATGCGGTACGAGATACAATCGATATCTAATTTTTTTGTTGGTATTTGTAGTTTATTCAAATGTCGTAACTGCGTGCGAACCTAGCAAAATATAAAGCAATAAGCTATCATTCACCCACAAAAGCTTCAAAATATATGTCATTGTTTTTTTGGAAGATATAAATTATTTTCAAAACTGTATGTTTAGGAAACTGATTAGATCTCCAACGCACCAAAGGATAGGCTTGTTACGAGATCTTTTAGGTCTCCAAAGCACCAGCTGAAAGTTCTTTGATAATGATGGCGCAGTGAACGTGTTAATACAACAGGGACGCCTAAAGTGAAATAAACCTTTTGAGTTCATAAATTTGTGAATATAAGTGCAAGTGCGGTATCTCGGACACACGAACATAGTGTCAAAACATTATAGAACATAGAGACTATTAATGAGCATTACCTTAGTTTAACCAATTCACTAGTTTTGTAGAAAATGAAGTCAATATAATATTACTTATTAGCCTTAATTATTGAATAGGCTAGATTGTTATTCGTGTTAAGTCGCAATCTCTTTCGTGAATTTTATTGTCAGATAAATGCCATTTGATTGACATTAAACCAATGTTTAATCGTTTTTACTAATCAGAAAGGAAAATGAGATTTAAATTGATACTGATCAATCAACTTTTGATTATAATTTTTGTACTTATTTCTCAAAAATGGTAAAAAAACATGATAACTAATGGTTCACTTTTGCATCATGTAAATGAGTGTTAAAATAGTCCTCCTCACCGGAATACGTCGAATTACCCAATAACGTATAGGACCGGCAACGCACTCGCGAGTCCTCTGTCATTGAGAGTGTTCATAGGCTGCGGTATCACTTAACATCACATGAGCCTCCTGCCCGTTTGCCCCCTGTTCTATAAACAAAAAGTTGTTAAGACTCATGTGTACAAGATTAAATCATAATCATAAGCAGCTGCTTACATGACAAAAATCTTTTTAATAAAAAGAATGGCGTAGTCTTACTAGTTTTACTTGTCCTAAGAGTAGGGATGCCTACAAATTCAAATTTAATGACGTGGAATAAGTGATACCTGTATCTTCTGTTCCAAAATAAACATATTTTATTTTATTTTATTATGCATTTGTTCTGACAACTGTTAGTAAATTTAAATTTAGAATCATTAAAAGCCTAAAGGTGTACCAATATGAACAAATTTTTGCAAAACACAGATTAATAATTGAAAATCTAAGGATTGTTGAATAGATAACAAAGTCAAATCGTTCTCCCATTAGCTTTTACCGCAAGAGACCTAAATCTTGACAGTCGTATAATTGCAATTATTGCATCACAAAAGTCGAATGAATAATTGGCGGAAAACAAACAGAAAATGTTCTAGCTGGCGAATGCCGCTATTTGCGAAACGCTTCATTACACGGCTCTAACGATACACGTCTTATGTTACTGAGAGTGTGAATGTATAGATATTTACTGGAATTCCTAAAAACAAACATTATATTATATCATTTAGTTATTAGTTATTCTTGTCTGTTATAACGTGACGGTGTTTGTACCGTTATGTTAATTATTTAATTTTATTTATTTTACCGATAA